TCGAACCCTTATTACAGTTCTGTTTTATGCTATATTAACAAAATCGCAAATTCTGCAATAAAATTACATGCATACATACCACTTAGTGTTTCTTTTAAGTACCACAATATTCTATGTATAATTTGTAACCTTATGATAGAAAACCGTATTGCAAAAATGATCAGACCTTAAGAGTATGGTTTATAAACTCACAAAAGCATCTTAAATCAGACCTATTAAAGCTGTCATTCACTCTGAAAAGAAGAGAATCTTGTGAGATCGCCATAGATGTTAAGTCCAGTGATGCATTGGGAAGGGTCATCGTTATCTTTATGATTACATTTATTTCCCAAAAATCAGTGTCAGTATTTGTGCTTTTGACATTAAATTGTGTGTTGGAATAACTATGAAAACGAGTCTCATGTGCCATATAACTACTGGCAGATGTGTAAAATTGCTGTGAGTTGAAGTGATCACATGCCATAGTAAGGAAATAGTCATAAGGCAAATTGTGGATGGGTGCTTCATGCTCAGGGGAATGTGAAGCGATGGTGTGGAAGCCTTAACTGCTAAGCAGTTAACACTATCTAGGGTTAGCTATTTGAGTTAGCGTCCGTCTGGAGAAGAGGTTACCCATCTCGTCTGCGTTCCTGACTCCAAACTAGTATGAGGCTTTTTGCAGCAATTTCTTCGGGAACGCCACAGCCGAACTATGGGATCTATATAGGGCAAGGTCGGCAGGTAGATAGAGGTGACGCCCACGCTGAATGACGCAATGTCCGTTATTTCCGGTAGAATTACTGTTCACCACTGCTGTCGAGAAGACCTGGTAGTGGCACGACCAGTGTGGATGGCTACACCTTTTCCTAATCAGGCCACATTGATGGTCACCATCTCATGGGGATAGCCATAAATATCTCTAGAGTCCTCGGTAGTCGTTACTCGATAACTATATAGGAGTGAAGCTTGCATTTGGCTTCATGTCAATTATTGCTGTATACAATCCTACTGATGCTTGTAAGGTCAATATGCAAGAGGTGTTTTACGCCAAACTTTCCTCAGAGAGCTATTCGCATTGTTCTGAGCGATTTCAGTGCACTATCTGGCTGTAATCAAAGTGGATATTATGTATGTTTATACATATGTGTGTATGTCTACTAATATGAATATATAAACAAATATATATAGCTATATATATAGATATGATAATATATATAATATATATATATAATATATATATATATATGTATGTGTGTATATATGTGTGTGTGTGTGTGTGTGTGTTTGTGTATCTATCCACGAGGAGTGTTCAGTGAGTTTTTGGCCTAAAAGGATAAGAGTGGAACCGTACATGTTACAAGTAATGTACAGGCTGTCATTTTGTCAACGTTTTTTTATTCCATTCAACAGTGACTTCTCGTGAGTGAGAATAGTAACTTTCCGGCAAAATGGGTGAATTTAGACAGCAGGCTGTGATAAAATGTTCCGTGATTTAAGGGAAAGTGGTACAGTTGATGCGTGGGGAGACAGTGCCCTGTCCTTTCCGCTGTCAAACGCTGGGCTACTCTCTTGAACCAGGACCGCGGCTCGAGTGAGGATGGCCCCCGAAGTGGTGGTCCTTCGACTGCAGCCCCAAGAGAAGCGGACACCTCAGCAGAAGATTAACTGGAAATGGACTTCACCGGAGATGTTGACCCTCACGAGCGCAGATCCGGAGGGATTCAGATCCCGAATCGGAACTCAGGATAAACGCGGATTTCTTGCTTCGATCCGGAAGCTAAAGCCGAATCTAGGCTGTGCAAGCATCCCTCCTCTCTCACGAAAATTAAGTCACGATATCATCATGAAGTATACACATATATATATATACAAATACATAATATATATATATATATATATATATATATATATATATATATATATATATTACCATATATTTGTATGTATACACACATATATATGTGTATGTATGTATGTACACACACATATATGTGTGTGTGTTTATAAATCATATGTACACACATACACAGACATGTACTTGTTAGTATATGGACCCATGTTTATATGTGTGTATATATGTTTGTAGGTAATTATGTAGAAAAAAAGAAAGAAATGATGTTTCTGAGAGTTTAGAACAGCCCTGTGTCCTAATGAGTGCTTAACTAACCAAATCAATTTATTACGTCATAATCCAGTAGTTAGAAAAAAATGCATAAAATAAACATTGTTGATCACATTAACATTCAATTACAAAAAAATACGCAAAAACTTTACGAAGAAAAACGGTATGTAACGAAGATAACTCTATAAATATCTAGATATTGAGAATATAAATGAACAAATGTAAATAAATAGAACATTAATTATATAAATAAGCATTTAACCTCACCAAGGACAGGCGATGGGCGTGGCTTCTCCTCTGGAACATCCTATTATCCAGACCAATATAAAAGTTGGACAGGACGCATCCGAGCACAATCACCTTGAGGCTACCACGATCATGTCCACCATGAAGACACTGGTAAGCAATTATATATATATATATATATATATATATATATATATATATATATATATATATATATATATATATATATATATATATATATATATATATATATATATATATACGTACACGCACATACACACACATTTATTTATGTGTGTATATGTGTACTGTGTGTGTGTGCATATCTCTCTTTCCCTCAATAACGAAAAGTGCATACAGCACTAGCATATTCTTGATCATATTTTCTTTACTTTTTTGAACGGGTCCGGGAGGGGAGGAAATGATTGAAAAGTTATATGCGTTACTTTTACCACTCCTGTGTTTGTCTACATGTGCAAATGCTTGTGAAAATGCAAACTTATATATACATATTTACCATTTTCGCTTAATCCTACAGGTTATATCACTGTTGTTTGTCCTCGTGACGGCTGAACAGAAACGTGAAGCTGAACCTGGCTTTGGCATCGGCTACCCTTTTATTCGTCCTTATGGTATTGGCTATGGCTACAGCTCAGCCATTACACACCATCCATTCGGCAGCCATTCCTCCGTCCAGTCCTACAATCACTTAGTCAAGAAACGTGAAGCTGAACCTGGCTTTGGCATCGGCCACCCTTTTATTCGTCCTTATGGCATTGGCTATGGCTACAGCTCAGCCATTACACACCATCCATTTCGGCAGCCATTCCTCCGTCCAGTCCTACAATCACTTCAAGAAACGTGAAGCTGAACCTGGCTTTGGATCGGCCACCTTTTATTCGTCCTATGGTATTGGCTATGGCTACAGCTCAGCCATTACACACCATCCATTCGGCAGCCATTCCTCCGTCCAGTCCTACAATCACTTGGTCAAGAAACGTGAAGCTGAACCTGGCTTTGGCATCGGCCATCCTTTTATTCGTCCTTATGGTATTGGCTATGGCTACAGCTCAGCCATTACACACCATCCATTCGGCAGCCATTCCTCCGTTCAGTCCTACAATCACCTCATCAAGAAACGGGATGCTGAAGCTGATCCTAGCTTCCCTGGCTTACTAGGTTACGCTTCTCTTCAGTATCCAGGATACGGTCTTGGGTACAAGTATAGCCATGCTTCCCTTCCTCTCCATTATGGTATTTACTGAAGCTGCATTCCCAACCTACGGAACTGACACCTCAGTTATTCGAACCCTTATTACAATTCTGTTCTACTGAATATATTAGCAAAATCGCAAATTCTGCAATAAAATTACATGCATACATACCACTTAGTGTTTCTTTTAAGTACCACAATATGTATAATTTGTAACCTTCTGATAGAAAAACGTGAGTATGGGTTATAAAATCACAAAGCATCTTACTTAAATCAGACCTTTTAAAGCTGTATGATTTGTAACTTTAAGAGCATGGGTTATAAAATCACAGAAATACTCTAGAAGTATCTTACTTTAATCAGACCTATTAAAGCTGTCATTCACTCAGAAAATAAGAGAATCTTGTGAGATCACCATTAGTGGAAATGGGCATTGGGAAGCGTCATCATCATCTTTGTGATTACATTTATTTCCTCCAAATTCAATGTTCTTTAGGCATCAAATTATGTTGAAATTTACGCCAAACTGTCCTGAGTTTGCTATTCGCATTGTTCTGAGCGATTTCAGTGCTGCATATGGCTGTGATCAAGCAATGGTCCATTGACTGCAGTCCCAAAGTACGCGAACGCCTGAGCAATTTAACTGGATACCGACTTCACCAGAGATGTTGACCCTCGCGAGCGCAGATCCGGAGGGCTTCAGATCCCGAAACGGAACTCAGGATAAAACGTGGATTCCTAGCTTCGATCCGGAAGCTGAAGCCGAATCTAGGCTGTGAAAGCATCCCTCCTCTCCGACGTCACGTAAATCCAAGGTAATGATATCATCCATGAAGTATTGTGTGTGTGTGTGTGTGTGTGTGTGTGAGTGTGTTTTTACAAATCATATATACACATAAGCAGACACGTACTTGTTGGTATATGGACCCATGTATATATGTACGTATACAGGTATGTAGGTAATTATATATATATATATATATATATATATATATATATATAGAACATGAATGAGAAAGGATGTTCCTAAGAGTCTAGATCAGCCCTGTGTCATAATGAGTGCTTAACTGGCCAAACAATTTATTACGTTATAATCCAGTAGTTAGAAAATAATAATAATAAACTGCTTAAAATAAAAATTGTTAATCAGACCAACATTCGGTTAGAAAAAATGCGCAAAAGCTCTCCAAAGAAAATGGGTATGCAAAGAAAATTATTATTTAATATGTAAATATATATATAATTAAAAACAAATGTAAATAACTAAAAATAATATAATAATATATATAATATATAAATATATAATATATATATAACTAATTTAACCCCAGCAAGGACAGGCGGTGTTTTCTCCTCTGGAACAACCTTCTATCCAGACCAATATAGAAGTCGGGCAGGACGCATCCGAGCACAATTACCTTGAGGCCACCACGATCATATCCACCATGGACACTGGTAAGCAATCTTATATATAGACACACACACACAAATATATATATGTGTGTGTGTGTGTGTGTGTGTGTGTGCATATAGTGTTTTTCATAAATAACAAAAGTGCATACGGCACTATTTAGATTTTTTTTTTTTTTTTTTTTTTTTTTTTTTTTTTTTTTTTTACGGGTACGATGAGGGGAGGAAATGTGTGGTTGTCTGCAAGCACATGTAAACTTATATACACACATATTTATGTGTGTTTATATATGTATATATATAAGCACACATAAATTGATATGTGAGCATACTTTACCATTGTCGCTTAATCTTACAGGTTAAAGCACTGCTGTTTGCCTTCGTAACGGCAGAGCAAAAACGAGAAGCTGAACCTGGCTTTGGCATCGGCCATCCTTTTATTCGTCCTTATGGTATTGGTTATGGCTACAGCTCAGCCAAGAAACGTAAAGCTGAAGCTGACCCTTGCTTTCCTGGCTTACACTTTTTACATTATATATATATATATATATATAATATATATATATATATATATATATATATATATATATATATATATACTAACACATACATAATGTATGTGTGTGTGATTGCGTGTTTGTGTGAATAAATATATGGACATTGGAGATTCTCACATGTATGTGTGTATGAATATACACAGATATTTATAATATGCTCACTCTATATGTATATGTGTTTGTTGGTGTGTGTGTGTGTGTGTGTGTGCGTATGAAGATCAAATGCATCTCTATATACCTAACATACACACATCATTTTTGACAGATTTTGAATGAAGTATCTCATGCAAATAAAGCAAACATTAACCAAAATAAGTTTTAATTTTGCTTCACATGATAAACTCTTGACTAGTAGAAGTTAGTATAAGGCGTAATGTGCGGGTACTACTCCATGCCTCTGCTGGTACGAATATCCGTATCCTGGATGGGTGACGGAGCTAGCGTATCCGTAGACCGATCCTGTGAGACCGTGAGTGTGACCATAGCTTGGGTCAGCGTCACGCTTGTGGAGGACGTGGTTGTAGGAGCGAGTGTAGGAGAGACCGCCATATGGGTGGTAAGCTACGGCTGGTCCGTATCCAAGGCTATGACCGATACCATAGCCGATGCCGCCACCATATCCATAACCATATGAGGGCAGGCCGAAACTAGGTTCAGCTTCCCGTTTTGTGGAGGTTGTGGCTGTAGCTCTGGACAAAGGAACGACCACCATATGGATGGTGAGCTATGGCTGGTGCGAATGCATGGGAATGGCCGTATCCATAACCATATGCTGGATGGCTGTACCCAGGTTCAGCTTCTCGTTTGTGGAGGTTGTGGCTGTAGCTCTGGACAAAGGAGCGACCGCCATATGGATGGTGAGCTATGGCTGCGTGCCCATACCCGACGCCATACTGCCGACCGCTGACAACGCCATGAGGAAGGGACAAGCCCACACCATGGCCATAAGAAGGCTCAGCCTCGCGCTTCTGCTCTGCTGCCACGCAGGCAACCAACAGCACAGCGATCTGCGGATAGAGGTTCAAATTTCACATTAAGCAACTGAACATTGCCATTCACAAAGGATATCTTAATGCCACTGCCCTGATGTATATGTTGAAGAACGAAATGTGTTCCTTACCAAAGTCTTCATAGTTGATGCTACAGAGAACTGTATGTGAAGGCAGTCAGATGCGTGTTATATAGAGTGATATTTCGAGCCACGCCCCACACTTGACTCTGACCTTCGTTAGCTTTTTCATGCTAGATTAACCACTCATGTAGTTTCATGTGAGTGTATGAACCAGGAAGCAGATTTTAACTTATATACTACATCATTAACAAACGACAGACAATGAAATTACTGCTTATAAATACGCATGTGTACTATATTTCTGATTACCTGGTTCTTTCATAAATCAATAGACGCTTTCAGATATACAAATAAAGTATAATTCACATACTGTTATTTTGATCTCGTAAGTTATATATCCAAACAGTCTTTGATATATATAAAGGAAACGAAAAAATATACATATAATTTTGAACATAAGCCGGAACAAATGCAAACAGAACTAGTTCGTATCCGACTAAATAGATATTATTACCCTGCGTAGAACCATTACGCAAAATAAATAGAGGAAAAATAAAGCAGGTTATTTACTATAACGATATCTCGTCTATTAAGGTACATCAAACAAATGCATGTCAAATGAATAATATAATAACTCACGGAGGAGAGCAGTCAAGAACAGTAGATCGATTAAGTCGATTAACGCAATGAATTTTTGGCAACCTGCGCGATCGATACTAGGTGTTTGTGTGTATGTGTGTGTAATACGTATGCATATCTGTTTAAATGCACTTAATTTTGCATCTATATGGGTAAACATATGCATATGCATACAGGGTCTATATGTGTATATATGCATATTCATATATACAAACACACATATGTGTGTGTGTATATACACACAATGTATATATATATATAT